CTCTCTCTCTCACACACACACACACACACACACACACACACAGAGGAATCTTTTTGCTGAGTGTGTGTGATGCACTCGAGGCCAGCGCACAGAGAGGATCCTTATCTGTGATTTTATCCAGACTCAGGCGACTGATCAGCAACAGGCCTCTTTGAGTGAGATTCGTGAGCGTGGATCCTCAGTTACCAAAAAGCTAAACCACTAAAATAATAGTACAACATTCAGAGCTTTTGATAAACGCTGATGAACAGTTCAATAGACTTTCATAGCTTTCACAACTCACAAAGCAGTTTTATGGAGTTTTTGTCTACTGAAATCTTTTCAGAAAGACGTTTCGTCAGCTAGAGTACAGTCCGTTGAATGCACTGTGCTTCCGTCATTTTGATTCCTGTCAGAAGTTAAATATAATGCAACCCTCTGTACAGTCTCAGGAAGGTTCTGGAACAATCAAAAACACCAGTACAAAATAAACCTACTGACATACAGTCACTGGTTATGAGTAAAAAAAGTATATTTGAAGTAAGTCCATGGCAAATTACTGATAGATCTACAGTAAGTACAGTGAGAGTGCATGGAAACATTTGTGAGACATTTGGTGGCTCCCTATGGGATTAAGGGTAGCGTAGTCCTTCACCAATATTAAACACTGTTTTTAAAACATGTTGAGATCTCGCTGACAGAAGCATATGACAACGCTTAAGAACCTCAGAGCTCACGGTGAGTCTGTTCTGAATGGTGTGAATGTTATAAACCCGTTTCTGTCTTCTGTGCCTCACAGCCATGCTAATTTCTCTTTATATGTTCAAAAGAAAGTCTGCAGTCTAGCGTCAGAATGAAGAGTCTCTGCTGTCGATGTCGGGTTTGTTTCTGGGTGGAGTGTGTGGCCGAGAAGACTTGTGTGTTAAGAGGAAACTCATTTGCCAGTCAAACGGGGAAGAAAATAGCCATTCTGCAAAGATCGTGAGCTTTGAGCCCAACTGTGTGCTTTACGATGACAAAGCATCTGAAATGCCACATACAGATCCAGATTTGTCAAGTCTGTACAGAGGAGGTTTGAAAGCTTTGTCAGTAACTAACAAAATCATATGTTTTCAAAACCTACTACTTTTTGAAGAACTTATGAATAGTGTTGCATGCGGAACTTGAAGTAAAAGCAACAAGACACAATTGTAATCAATGATAGTTTAATACACTACAAAAAAAAATGCTTATCTAGCATTTTGTCTTGTTTTCCATTACACATATCTAAAAATTCTTAAATCAAATAACATTTGCTTGAACAGGACAATAAGATATTAAGTCTGAAAAATGACAAATGTATTAAAATGAAGTGAGTTTATGCTTAAAACAAGAACAAATATCTGCCAACGGGGTCAAAAAAATCTAATGGTTTTCCCTTTGAATTAAATCAATTTTTGATACATTTTCCAAAAAACAATAATTCATATCTCATGTTATTTGCTTCTTTTGTTTAGACATTTTTCAGAAAACATGACAAAAATAGTATGTTTCGCAGTGCACTTAGTGTCGAGGGTTGTATCACCTCTTTGGCTTTGTAATTTTGGAAGAAACCACTTTTAAAATTTCGACGTTCTTCTCCACGGCCGGTTTATCACCACATTAAAATGCACTGATAAAGTTCAAGTGTCAACCAATCATAAACGGCATCACACCACGAGCAATAACAGAGATGCTTGACTGTTAGCAAACGCCACTAAAAAGGGAACGCACACACACACACACACACACACACACACTCACACACACACAAACACACACAAACACACACACACCAACCCTACCCCTAAACCTACCCCTCACAAGAAACTTTCTGCATTTTTAGATTTTCAAAAAACTCCATTCTGTGTGATTTATAAGCTTGTTTACCCGTGGGGACCACAGTTTAGGTCCCCACCGTGACACGACTCCCCATGAGTCTGTGTGTATTCAGGTTTAAGTCCCCACCAGGATACAAAAAGAGGTACACGCATCGCACACACACACACACACACTGACTCAATGACTTCCTGTCTCTGACAGGAAGTGGAGAAACACACACACACACACATCAGTATAATATGCCCTTTTTAGGCAAACTAGGAAGTGAGAGAATGTGGGGGAGATGATGAAAAAGTGTGAGCAATAGAATGAAAGACTAAATGCAGTTCACACATCTCATAGAAGCGCACACTTGTTCTTTATTTTGAGGTAGTGCTATTTACAGATGTCATTTAGTAAGTTAGTACAAACTGAGCCACGAGTGACAGCATGATCCCCGAGCTTCTCCAGAGAGTCTGGACATGCGATAAGTGCACTGTATGCTGCTAAATAGCTGTTACAAAACCTTAAACGTCTGCAGAAGTGATCTGTTGACCTGTTTTAGCGTGCTGAGGAATTCTCTGAGGAATGCAGGTTTTCTGTGGTGTGAACAGAAGCGCCCCCTTCTGATGAGATGCACAAACAGAGGCAGACCCCTCGTAAACCCCAAATACTTTATTTAAAATGTGTTTTACTGGATTTGATGATTCCAAGCAACATTAACAACATTAACATTAACAATGCTTTGCTTTTCTCGTGGTCTTACAACCCTTGACTTTCATTATGCTGTATTATCACCAATTTCTTTTTGTAATTAGCACAGGTTTTCTATTTCTCTTTGGAGTTGATTCACAGGCCTCATTGATCTGAGCTTACGCTCCTCAGTTTTTGAGTGGGAAAAAAAAACAGCATTTATTTGTTCATAAGCTCAGATCAGCAAGGCCTAAGATCAATCAGTTCCAAAAAAGAAATACAAAAACTGTGCTAAACTTAAAGAAAACAAGCTGAAGACAAATACTGAATACAATATTTAACATAATATGGAATAATGAGAGACTTACAAGCAATTCAGAACTCGGAACACCACGTGTAACAAGATGGGGGAAAAGTCCCCCAAAAAGTACAAAATTTAAGAAGTACCAATTGTATTTATATGTGATAATCTGTAGTATAAAGCGCTATATAAATAAATCTAAAAAATGGCTATTATCTAGCATTTTTGGGAAAAAGAAAATGCTTTTAAAAAAGTCAGAATTGCAAGATGTAAACATGTGTACGCCTCACAATTCTGATTGTTTTATTTCTCACAAATCTCAAAATGACCAGAATATCCATATTGTGAGATATAGGCCCGGTTTCACAGACAGGGCTTAGACTAAACCAGGATTAGGCCACATTCAATCAGGACATTTAAGTCATTTTTATAAACATGCCTTAGAAAAAACATTACTGGTGTGCATCTTGATACAAAACAAGGACACTGACATATTTTAAGATCAGTCAGTGCAAGTTTCTTTCAGCTGAAACAACTCAGACTTACATTTTAGTCTGGGACTATAGCTTAAGCCATGTCTGTGAAACAGTCAAGAAAAATTCAGTACTGTTAGAAATAAAGTCAGAACTGTGAGGTAAAAAACTTTTAGCTTTATTTTTTATTCCGTGGCGGGAACAACCTTCCAGCTAGTGTAATCAGCAAAACAAATGACACAGAAAAATACTGAGAAATGCTTATAAAATCATTATTGATCTTCTGGTTTTGAACTACGGAGTGCACATTTTTTTTTTAAAGATAAAAAATATATTTATAGTCACATATAACCAAATGTAGGTCACATTGTAGGCCATGACAGTAGGCCACAAAACCAAAAAGCAGGTAAGTGCTGTCCTTAATTTTACTACGGTAACCAGTTTCACCAACACATAGAAATGACTTGTTACTATGATTGATACAAACAGATTTGCTTGGTATTAAAAATGTTTAATAAGAGAGAGAGACACTATATTTGTCTAACAAGTTAATTACTGTTGCCAAGGTAAAGTTTTATAGGGGTGACACTTGTCACCAGAGACCCATTATGGAAAGAACACAACTATAAATAAATAAATGTGTTGATAATGATCTAGATAAGGATAAACTGATAACAGATCGCAGACATCATGTCAGGTGGACCAGATCACCAGCATTTTGTGTTTATAAAAACACCGCAAGACAAATGCATGAGTTGAGCCTTTAAAGAGTTAGAAACCACTGTGAAGGAAAGCAATTAACCGTTGCACTAACGCTGAAATAGGCTTTAAAGCAAAGACCTGCTCTGTACTTTGCATTCTGCATCAAGTCTTCCTAAAAACAGCCAAATTGCAAATTCACAAGGATCAAGTTCATACAGGTTCAAAACCTGAGATGAAAACTAGCAGAATAAAAACAACACTTCACATAACATACACAACCTTTTCCTTTGCTTGGGCTCTAAGAAGAGTCTAAACCATAATCGACTGGAGAGCTGAGTGCTAAAAAAAAAAGGACATAAGGTAATCAAAACTGTACATATACAAGGTTTGTTTACGGTTTAAGCACAATGTTCACACCATTACTCAGTAATATACCATTCCATACTAACTGGTGATGGAAGACCACCAACATAATAATCTCAATAAGACTCAATCCAGGCATGTTTGACACTTCAGTCAAACCAGGAGTTTTCATACCGCACTGAGAACCATTTAAGTCAGTACCTCGTTAACGCATCAATTAGGCCAGTTGTCTAATTAATGAAATCATTAAGGTATCATTTAGAATACAAATTTATATTATGTTATATAAAACTAAAGGCTCAATGTTAATATTTCTTTGTGCTGAAAATTACCTTTAAAATTGTTTTTAAATGAATTGTTTGCTGTGGCGTGTGTTTGTGTTTTCTATCATTATCATGCGGTCTGCTCAAACAATGTTGCTTGCTATATTAAAGATGTTGTATGAGTTCATGGTTAAAAGAAAACATTTTCCCTGTCTGTATTTATCTGTTCAAATGTTGTCATTTTAATTCATCTTAATTGTTATTGTGGCACATAAATGCTCCAACATATCCACCACCTTTCATACTGTAGGAGAACCAGTAGATAATGGTAGATTAATATAAGCACGTTTAAGTAATTTTAACTTGTAAAAACACAAATAAAATTGACATCTCTGAACATTTTGTGATTTCTCAACCAACCAATGTTTGCATGAGAATGTTAACGATTGGGTCCTTTCTCACTAATTTCACTTTAACGAGGGGCCCAGGTGATGAAAATCTGTTACTTTAAAACCCCTCAAACCACTCGATGCTTGTTTTAGAAAGCAGGATTAGATTGTCAATTCTTCAATCTTTGCTCAAGATGGCTGTTTCAAACCTTATGTTTTTGGTGTTCTCGTGTCACCAATTGGTGTTCAATGGTGAAGATGTTTTCACCTTAATGTGGTGTTTTAAATATGTCTGTTTTTTTCTCTTTCTTTAATCTTATGTTTTGTCTTCAGGGTTTGCTTCTCCAATTGGGTATCTTTTATACCAGGCTGGTAGTGAGCAAGTACGCTTGGAGAAGAAAGGTTTGAAGCTTTTGTGTGGTCATAACATTGTGTCTTTTTTGTTCACACAATATGTAGTTATATTAATGAAGCAGGATTACTTTGTGTGTGTGTCCCAAAATTAAGTTTCAAATCTAAATTTAGCATTAAACATGGTAACGTGCCTCATGTTAAGCCCAGGTCACACATTTGAGATTATCAAATTTTAAATGAAGCGCTTTATAAAATGTAAAACTAAGTGTATGTAGTTTCGGACAGAATGTAAACAGGAGTCTAACATTAGTTTTAATTAAGCAAATTGTGAATCCTATTCTGGTCTTATTGCCTTGTGTATTGGGGAGGAAGACCAAGTCTAAACCTATACAGGTCCAACCCTAGTGTAAATCCACATTTAACACTTCAATTAGTCAAACTTTGTTAGCTGTTTATCTTATGTCTTAATTTTTATATACATACATGCATACATAACCATATAACCATTATTTTGGCTAAAGTTTTGAGTGTGTGTGTGTGTGTGTGAGTATTGTGTCCAGTGTATTATTGTTCATGCCTTTTGTTTTCCAGATGGCCCCTTGTCCTCTCTTTGTGCAAACCAAATTCCAAACCAGCCAGTGGTAGCAAAGTGTAGCTTGGCTGTTCTGCTGTCTTTGAAGAATGAATCTGGTCTAATTATCCAAAAGGGTAATCTTTTGTATTGACACTGGACCACGAGGAAAGCTAATTGCAGTTTCTGACATGTTTTGCATCAATTTTCTTTAGGCATTGATGTGAAGAATTTGCCCTCTGCCCTGTCCAGCCCCCAGCCCACCAATGAGCCCAGCTCTCTGCCTGCTGAGTCCAGCCTCCACCAAGTTGCAGAATCAACCACTCTCCCCTTTGAGGAGTCAGGCACTTTGCCCACTGAGGTTAATGGGAAACTGACTGAGTCCAGCCCCCAGCCTGCTAAGGAGTCTATCACTATCTCAGCTGGGGAGTCAAACTCTCTGCCTGCTGAGGAGTCCAGCCTTCACCCTGTTGCAGAGTCCAGCCCCCAGCCTGCCAAGGAGTCCAGTGCTATCCCAGCTGGGGAGTCTAGCTCTCTGCCTGCTGCATCTAGCTCTCTGCCTGCTGCGGTTGCTGGGAAGCTGACTGAGTCCAGCCTTCACCTTGTTGCAGAGTCCACCCCCCAGCCTACCAAGGAGTCCAGCGCTATCCCAGTTGGGGAATCTAGCTCTCTGAATGCTGTGGAGTCCATCCCCCAGCCTGCCAAGGAGTCCAGCGCTATCCCAGTTGGGGAATCTAGCCCTCTGCCTACTGAGTCCAACCCCCACCCAGTTGCAGTGCCCAGCACTCTCCCCATCAAGGAGTCAGGCGCTTTGCCCGCTGAGGTTGATGGGAAGCTCACGGAGTCCAGCCCCCAGCCAGTTGCAGAGTCCAGTGCTCTCCCAGCTGAGTCCAGTGCTCTCCCAGCTGAGTCCAGTGCTCTCCCAGCTGAGTCCAGTGCTCTCCCAGCTGAGTCCAGTGCTCTCCCAGCTGAGTCCAGTGCTCTCCCAGCTGAGTCCAGTGCTCTCCCAGCTGAGTCGTCCAGCCCCCAGCCTGCCAAGGAGTCCATCGCTCTGCCTACTGAGGTTGATGGGAAAAACATGACCAGTTCCAGCTCCCACCCTGCTGAAAAGTTGTGTGCTCTGCCCACCAAGGGGTCCAGCCCCCACCCAGTCACACAGTCCAGTGCTCTACCTGCCGGGAAGCCTAGCACTCTGCCCACTGAGGTTTATGGGATGAAGCTGACCGAGTCCAGCCCACTACCTGCCAGTAAGTCCAGCGCTATCCCAGCTGAGGAGTCAAACTCTCTGCCTGCTGAGGAGTCCAGCCCTCACCCTGTTGCAGAGTTCAGCCCCCAGCCTACCAAAGAGTTATGCACTATCCCAGCTGGAGAATCTAGCTCTCTGCATGCTGTGGAGTACACCCCCCAGCCTGCCAAGGAGTCCAGTGCTATCCCAGCTGGAGAATTTAGCCTTCTGCCTGCTGAGTCCAACCCCCACCCAGTTGCAGAGCCCAGCACTCTCCCCATCGAGGAGTCAGGCACTTTGCCCGCTGAGGTTGATGGGAAGCTCACGGAGTCCAGCCCTCTGCCTGCTGAGCAGTCCAGCCCTCACCCTGTTGCAGAGTCGAGCCCCCAGCCTGCCAAGGAGTCCAGTGCTATCCCAGCTGGGGAATCTAGCTCTCTGCCTGCTGAGGTTGATGGGAAGCTCACGGAGTCCAGCCCTCACCCAGCCGTGGAGTCCAGCCCTCACCCAGCCGTGGAGTCCAGCCCTCACGCAGCCGTGGAGTCCAGCCCTCACGCAGCCGAGGAGTCCAGCCCTCACGCAGCCGAGGAGTCCAGCCCTCAGGCAGCCGAGGAGTCCAGCACTCT